CCATAGTTTCTACATGGTTAATTTATGTGAAAATGTAATTTCGAATTCCTTCCTTAACAATTCAACTGCATACCTGTGAGGAAGGGATGCCAAGTTATGAAACATTGCTGTAAAAGATTTAATATATTATAACAGATAAGTGAATACACATAGACTTGATGTATTCGTACTGGTACCAGATTAGAGTTCTTGAGTGCAGTTACTGAAAGTATACGTTACTTAAAATGTGCATGTCATTTTGGAATTTTGTGAGTAGTTATATAGTAGTTCATTCCAACATCAAGAACGATATTCAGGTCTTTGAAACTAGTAGCTCCAATGCATTTTGTTCGAGTTTTTAAAATAGGCGAACAGAGGAGATGTTACAATATTTACTTTATGTCCGGTTAGTCAAAAAATACTACTAGTGATATTTAGTTTACGTGTGAAAAAACTAGATATAATTCTCTTAAATCTTCTTAAATCTTTCTTGATTAAATATTTAAGAAATTAATCGACAAAATTGTAATTACTTGTAGTATTGCCAACAAAAAAATTTATATAAATGAATACTTACATGTGAAAGAAATTACCTGATTAAATGAATTAAAAACTTTAGTAAGAAACTTCTTTATTGTTGGAATTAATCTGACTATACGTTAAGTGACTTAAAGTAGAAACTTCAAAATAATAAAAGTAAATGTCAAAATGGCGCCTTCATGATAATTATGTGGTCAAGTCAAACTTTAATGTTTATCATGAGTACGAAAGAAATAAAGTAGAAAATCTATGCCAGTAAAATAACAATATGTAGGTCACAAAGTTTTCTAATTCATACTTGCTGCAAACAGAAGTCAGCGGAAGTTTCGTAAGCAAGTAAAAAAAAATTCCGTTTTTATCTGTGGTACACAATGCGTTACTCTTAACTTTGAAGTAAAACTTTTCTATCTGCAATTTCAATTTTAAGCCACTTTGTCGCATTTTACGTGACCTCATAATAAAGTTATAAGCAATTCATGGCGCTATGACAAACGATACGAAACTTAGTGCATTTTTCTCTTTGAGTTCCAACAATAAAAACTTTTCTTACAACACGACAAAAACAAAATGCAACATCATTTTAGTGTTGCCATTTGGACTCTCAATTATGTGCAACAGTCGCAAGAACAAAGCAATCGGCGTGCAACGAATCCTTTCGACGAGAATTCAGTCAGTGTTTGCTAATTCAGCAATTAAGCAATTGCCAACACGTAACGCTACAGACTCTATGACACCAGCATAAAACTTAGTCCTTCAACTATGTCTATAGTGCAGTTTGTTATTTGTTTTAAATCCTGTAAATCAAAATAGTTAAGTTTTGAAGTCAATGCTTAGCTAACAGTTGTAGTAAAGAGATACTTTCAACGTTTCTGCAACATATCAATAGACACTGATATACTTTATTCATTTATTGTGTGAATATTATTTAAAACTAATTTCTTCGAAAGAATGTGTTAAAAAAATTTATTACTATTAAATAACGATAAACTTTTAAGTTTAATTTCCTAACAAAAATGTGTAAAAGAAAAAATGTATCTTATAATATTTGTAGCTTAACAGAAATTAATGTCAAATAAAATGCTTGCATTGTCACAATATCGTGACAGAAGAAAGTGTTTTTGGTCCTTAAGCTATTAAAAGAGAATAATTTAGAAAATGTGGTTTGTGGAAGCACTTATTACATGAGAGCCATATCTAATTTATTATTGCTTTTTCTAATTTTGCATAGCAAAAGCAAATTTTACATATCACAGCATAATACACATCACCGCAATCATTTTACTTCACTCTTTAAAAGCAAGAACAATCACAAATATCGATATCACAATCATAAGAACACTAAACATTTAGAAAAATATATGTTTTTATAGGAACTTAGTATTTTAAACGGTCTTACTGCATCACAACCACGGTCTGATAATGGATTTATGGGTTTTGTACCAAACTTTACCAACTCACCTATTAATTGCCGTAGTCATAAAATTTTTAAAAATATAAATTCAAAGTCCTTTTGCACTTTTGGACGCTAATCATTCTTGTCCACTGCATTTAGACAATACTAGTTTGTCTCCTCTTTTTCAATTTCCTCTTTTGTTTAGGTAAGATTTATAAAACTAAGATTTATTCCCATTATTTCCAAACTAAGACTTATTTTTAATTGTAATCTCATTTATTGTAAAAATAGTATGTGGACTTTCGAAATGACAGCATTTCGCAGCTGTGCATTTAAAATCAAAATTTACTTATTGAAAAGTTTATAAAGAAGCGAAAGTAGTATGAGAAAATAGAAATAAAGTGATAATATAAATAATATTTTTAAAAAATATTTGTGCAAAATTTAATTTCATTAATTCAAATATAAAGATACTAGTTTACGGACATCTAAAAAAATAGAACTGATAATAGCAATACAATTAATTTATATATAAAATATATTTTAATAGAATTTATCCAAGAAATTTTAATATAATAAATGTACGAGGATTCTAATAAGTTAACAGCTGATTCGATGGAATCATTTCTAAGAGTACACACACACACTTAGGCAGAATCTACATTTCTGCCCCAAAACAGCATCTTTGTCAAAACGCCTCTGTGTCGAAAAACTCTATGTGCAAAAAGTTTTCGTCTAGAAAGTCTCTATCCAAAGGGGCTCTGTCCAAAAACTCTTCGCCAAATATTAAATAAACTGATATATTAAAAGACTACTTTAATTATATTTAAAAAGACATAACTGATAGACAAATGATGCACTGGCTTTATCTGGCTTAAATGGACTCATCTTGAGAATCTGTAAAAGATCATACAATTAGTTGGAAGGCTAAGAGACTAATGTATCAATAACTATTAATGTATAGAACAAAAATTAAATTTGCGAGCATTGGTTGTGTATTATTTGAACTATAAACCACAAATAATGACAATACAGATGCAAATGCTGATGAACTTACTATTCGTATGCTGCTATCCATTTCAACAGAATACTAGATAAAGTAATTAAAGTTTTCAAATAAACCAGACTATTGCCCTAGGCTATACAAGAAGTAGACAGAGATTCTTTGAAAAAGAATTATAAAAAGCACATAGCAACATCTTAAGTTAATTACTACCATTTTTTAGAAGTTTAGTTATGTTTCCTTTTAAATTTATATTAGTATAGTAATAAATTGATATATTTTCAATATGAAGAATTAATTACTTTATATTCAGAACAAAATATATTTTTCTTCTACTATAGAAGAAGTTTATAAAAATACGAAGACCATAATTATTTTTTTTAAAATAATTTTTAAAACTTTCCCTTATTACTATATTAGTACCCGCTATTAAAGCGTTGGATTTTATTGCACCCCTATAATTCGACTAATTATTCCTAAATTTTTTGTGTAAATACTACACTTTACAATAAGTAGAGCACATTAAAATAGAAACCACACTAAAATAGTAACCCTAATTTCTTGCTGTGAAAACTAAAAGTCTTGTCCTTAACATTTAGAAGAAATTCTTTTCATTACAAAAAGAAAAAGAATTTTCAAATATCAACAAAAATAAAAATCAAAATAAATAAAAATAAAAATTAAATTGCAGTAAAATTTTAAAAAACACGGAAAATAAGTGTAGAAAAGTAAATCTAAGAAAGAAATAAGTTCTACAAATTACACACTTCAGGACTTCGTAGCAACAATAATTATTGTTAACCCAACCACAGCGTGAAAAATTTTACGCTTCACATTAAGTTAAGCGCAACAGCTGCTCCTTGTATTATTGTTAAATGCATTAAGCTCATTTCTGTTATTTTTATTCCTGCAATGCGCCTACTAAGCTCTGCTATTCATGCCAAGCACCCACAAATTAAATAAAATTTCTTATTTAATTTTACTTCTGATGTTAATGGAAAAATCACAGCAGCGAATACTATTAAAACAAAAACAACTACAGTTGTTGTTAAATGGATATACAGTGAAGTACTGATAAAAATCACAAGATTAATTAAAACTTAACCACTTTTCTCCTTGAAGTTGTTCTGATGCAACTGAACATTTTTGTCTGTAGTTAAGGATATTGTGCTATTATTGCATTTTTAGTGTACTAATATTAGTGTACACTATTATTGCATGAGTAGTTAGTGTAAGGAACCCATGTAACTAGCTGTATAGTTGACAACGCTTCAAAAGTAAATATAATGTGGGTTTGTCTTCTGGATTTCAATTAATTCTCATGTGCTACTATTTAGTTTAGCTTAAAAGAATTTTTGAAGTTATACAGAGCAGATGAATCAGAATATATCACAAAGACCACGAATTAGAAAGTTCACATTAATACCCAAAATCATTGAAAACCATAGAAACAAGTAATCTGAGATTAGTAAATCTCTGCGAAAGTTGAAAAATCAAAGAACAATTTTTTAAAAACTATAATTTTTTTGGGGATTAAATAAAATTTAACCAGAATAGCTTAAAGTTTAAAAAAATAATGAAGAAATTTTTATTAGTTAATAAAGTATTAATTTTTAATAATAACAAAAAATAAACTTTATGAAAACAACAATTCAATCTATCTTCAGACAAATCAAATGAACTCTATATTTTGTTGAAAATAATTGAAATATTTAATATGTTAAAATTTTATAAAATCTTTTATTAGTTTCCATTGTTCTCTATGGTCCACTGCAGAAGTATATATAGAGCAGCAAAAAGGAAACCATATTTCGAGAAATGTGTATTAGAGCAACAAGAAACTTTTAATTATTCTATTTAAATTTTTAAGTTTTATTTAAAAGAAGATTTCGAACAGTTATTTCTTCACAACAACAAAAATTTTAGTTAATTTATTAAAAGTTGGCTGACCATACTCGAAACAGCGCTGTCAATTGTTGTTGTTGTTTCTTCTTCACTATTCGAACCCTTTTAGTTTCTTTTCTTTTATAAAATCCGTCACATTTGACAAAAAAAAAATTAACTTTAATATATTTTCCTTTTTAGAGCAAAAGTTTTGGAATGTTCAGCAAGAGATGATCACAATGTGAAAGACTTATTTAAGGCTTTATTATCTTTATCAAGATTCTTACCTGTGGGCAATAGTAATGAGAGTAACACTGGCCTAAAGCGACGTTCTTCGGCTTATGTTAGTGCATCATCAAGCAGAAGTAAGTAACTTAAATAAATGTATACTAAACATAACCTTAAAACTAGTGAATGTTAATATACTATTTATATAATTTATTATATATATTGAGTCCTTGTTGTTGTAGTTATTTGTTCTGCAGCGACTTGTTAAAAAAAACCACTGCACTTTTATTATAATAATTTTTTTAATTCAAAATTCAAATATAATTAATTTAAATATTTTATCAAAAAGAATTAAATTACTTAAATTTATACTTCAGTAAATTTGTTTTCTCTTTATTATTGAATTAATATTTTATTTAAAACAAAAAAAAATTCTGTTTTTCATATTGAAACACATAATGAAAAATTTGTGCTTATTTTAAAAATGAATTGCAGTTTTAATTAAAATGATACTATAGAAACAAATCATGTGAAAAAATATAAATTTAATTTATTGCAAAATAAAGTGATTCCCTTTTCTGACTCCACAAAATATTTAAATATTTATTTAATAACATAATTTTTTTCCATTACATATATATATGAATATTTGTAAAATTAATAAACTCCAAAAACATACTGTTTTGTAGTTAGTATAAAATAAAAAGACTTCAAACATAACTATATACGAGAAAATAGTCGAAGCCACTTCGACAGTCAATTCACTTGACAACAGTCGATGAAAGCTTACTAAAGCGCCTAAGAACACACCAGTCAGCTAGAAAAGTCTTGGCTTTTTAAGTAGGTTTATTTGTTTAGAACCGATCGAAGATAAATCAGTATTCGGCTTACTAAGTAGCAACCGACGAGAGCTAACTAGAGCAATCAAGGATGTAAAAATCAGCCGGGAAGATTATGCCATTTGCATTTCAAGTTGTGAATGCTATGGTATTTATCAGTTAGATTGGAAAGTAATAAACGAAAACTAACAAATATTGTATTAGTATATATGGGTCATTGTTTTACAAACCGGACGGATTTTGGATAAAAATTACCATATGATCTCCGATTTGGCTGAAGCTCCGATTTTTATGAGCTCCTTTCATACAATAAGATGACACGTAACTCGGGAAAAATTTTCTAATTTTTTTCCTAAAAGATATCGACCCATGGGGTTTTGAGAATTGGGATTATTATTTAAATTGTTTAAATAAAAAAGATTGTTTATATTTATTACTAATATTAACCGTTAAATTTTAGTTTTACACTTAATTTTTTTTCAATAAGCGGAAACTGTTATAGAGACCAAAACCTTATCAGCTTACCAACGTAACACTCTATCAATTATAGATGGTTTGTTTTTAACATTTAATAAAAATGTCTTGAATTTTAAAAATATATTAGTTATTAATATTCAGAATAATATATACCTTACTTCTAAAATACGGGCACCTTTTCAAAGAATTAAATACAAAGTGAATTTACTAAATTTATATTAAATATGATTTTAAATTAAAAATATTGTAGTATTTAATTAAAAAAATAATTTCAATATAAACTTTAAACAGGTGAAAACTAAAAAATTTTTTATTAACAAATATATTTAATGTAAATATGTTGTCATATACATGACTTCATTAACCAGAATATTACCTCCCTTTTCTTTGAGGTAACTTAGTGAGAAATTCCACTTTAATATAAAAAAAATCCAATTTCCGCATTTTTTCCTAGAAATGCAATTTTCATAAGAAAATCTGTTATAAAAACATGATTTCCTCTTTTTACGCAATTTATATAAAAATTTTGCGTTTTAACTGGCAGCAGCATTTCCGCTTTTAAATCAACTATACAAGCATATAATAGCAAGGAGTGTTATCAGTGTATCACAAAACGTATACTATATATACTTGTAAATTTACATATTCACATATTTATTTATAAAAATCAAATGAGTATGTTAATACCTGCACATAATAAATGCTACAGCATAAGTAGATTTACAACAGTGAATTTACTGTAAAACATATAATGCATTTTTAATTTCCTTTATATATCTTAAGTACTAACTAATCTCGATATAAACTTAAAGGATGTAATAAATTATATTTATTTATTAAATTCAAGACATTTTTAAAAATTAAATATATTTTGAATAAAAAGAAGAACTATTAAATATCTTAACAACTCATAAGATTTTCATAATTAATAACTTTTTCTCCGGAAATACTTATTTAATATAATTTAATAATTTTGCAGAAATTTTAAAGTTGATAGAATATGCCAATTTATATGGTAGTTACATACTAAAATGAAGACATATAACATAATAGTTATTGTCGTAAATAAACTGTAGTTCTCAAGTTACACAATATTAAAATGAAAAATAAGATAAATGTTTCAATTGCTGCTAATATTTTATATTTTAATAATTGTAACTAAAATAACTTACTACTAACTTACTTACTTAAGCTTCACGCTTAGGGGTTGATGTTACCGCAGTCTTGTATAATACTTTTTTGAAGATCATAGAGAATTTAAAGAATCTTGACAGACTTTAGTGGGATTCGTTGAATTTAAGCAACCGCTTACATATTTCTTTATTTGTAATATAATATTTATAATATAAACAAGAAAACCCTAATATAATTTTCGTATACCAATGCCAAAATTGAATATGTTGTGTGACTTATGCCACCATCCAATAGCAACTATATGTTCTGGTAATCATGCAACTGTAGCGATATTAATTGATGGTTTGTGTCACAGTATGACATATATGTCATATGTCTCCATACAGTAAGTTTTTGTGGATGCAAAGGTCTTTTAAATATTTTGAAAGTTACTTGTACATTATTATTGCCTCAGATGTGTTATTTTTATTTGTTTGAGTCTTTACCAATCAAAAAATATTTCTGGTTGTTGAAAAACAAACGATATATTGAATATATTACTATAAAACTATAAATTTTTATAATTTTAATTTAATTAATTTAATTAGTTGAGCAGTTGTTAATTGAACCATATGGAAAATCTGAAATCTTTAATACATTATGTCTTGGATTAAGTTCTATTTGTTATATATCTCGAAAACTGAAAAAAAATTGATAAATTTTTTTTATCATTGCTACTTTTAAAGCTTTCAATATATGATTACAATTTTGAATAGTTGTATGTTATAGTTTGTATATGCTCAAGTGCTTTACTAACTATCCACTTTACATAGCTATCCATTAGAATTTGTTCTAATATCATATTTTGTTCAAACATTTGCTCTTATGTTTATATTTCTATAAATCAGAACGAAAATAAATAGTAACAATGCAGATTTGCTTTTTAAGCAGTTTTGATCCATTTCGTATTCGAGTAGATAGATCTGAGCTGCTCGAACACTTTGAAGTATTTGTTGAAATTCAAAAGATTTAAACTGTTCAAATAACTACGTATACTATGTTTATAACCAATTCTCTATTTGCATTAATACTACTAATATTCTTGAAATATGAAAATTAAATATTTTGTAAAAGCTGAAATGCTTCTCAAAACTGTAGTAAAAAAGAAAATAATGCCAGGTAAATGATAAAATATCACCAGCAGAATTTAAAAGAAATAAGTTTTGTACAAGAACTCCAGAATCATTTATTCAAAGAAGAAGAAAAAATAAAAATTAAATCTAATATGCAGTAATAATAAATGCAAACTAAAAACGTTGTAAAAATGTAAATTTACTATGGAGAAAATAATATTAAAAGTAAAGATAAAATCTTAAACGTGAAGAAAACTAAAGAAAAGTGTAATTAAATATAGTAAAATATAAGAAAATTTAAAAGTGTGCGAAAAGCAGTTGAAATTATCAAGTCCTTCTATCAGGATTCCTTTACGCAATTTTTATGCAACGCTGCATTGTTTCAAGGAGTTAGGAAAAAAAATTACTTTTAATTGAAAATTGAAACCTTTGCTCACAAAATTCTCCAGGTAATGTAATTTTCACATAATTAATAATGATTTTAATATACCGAATAGTTTGCAACTATCATTTTTCTAACTATTAGTAAAACTTCATAAAGGATGAAATTAGAAAAAGGAAAGAGTATAAAACATATATAAAGATTAAACATTAAATTAAAAAATTAATATTTATTTTTTTGCTGAATTATATAAATTTTTTAAAATTTAATACTTTTAATAGTATTCATATTTAGTTTACTACATTTAATTAAGAAACAATAATATAATTTGTGCTTTCGGTCTGATGAAATAAAAATATTTATCTTTAATTAAATAATATTATTTTATAATACATATTATATATATTAAAATTTAATAGCAATTATAATTCATTTCAATTTCACTGTGATGAGAGACTTGTTAATTTTGCTATGTCCTTATTTACAAAACAAGCCATATGCCGTTGTCAAATACATTGGTCTTTGGCATTATTGTGGTTTAAATGCTGTCTTAAGGAAACAGGTATTTGTGCAAGAAGATAGATTGCCGTTTTCATTTCAACCAAATCTAATATTTGCTTTCCGTGTTGACTTTTTGCTAACAAGGTACACGAATCCAATATTGTTTGGATAAGTTGAAAATGCAATAGTTAGTTATAATACTAAAGAATTGATTGATTTAATAACATGCAAGTATAAACTTAACATGGAATAAAATAAAAGCAGTCTACTTCGAGACTGCTGGAAATTACTGTCTTTTTTTTCTAAACAGAAAGAGACTTATATTCCGATTTTAAAATTTTATAAATAAAGAGGTTTTTGAAAAGTAGTGAACTACAACAACAAAATATCATTTTTTTATTATTTTTTAATTAATTGAATTTTTGGCTGCCCATACAGCTGTTTCGAGTATTACCAAATACACATCAGCAGTTGTCTTGGAAATAACTCTTGTGTTTAATTATTCGTAAATAGTTTTTTGAGAGTGCAAGTACCAGGAATCGAACTCGTGCCCTACCAAATTTGAAGCTCAGAGTCAGCGTACCAACTAACCCAAAACCGTACTTGACTATTATGTTCGCACATTTTTCTGGAGTTTTATTAATTTGTTGTGAAAGTTTTATTAATAAATTTACTTGCTTTGTTTATATAAG